TTTTTTTTTTTTTTTTGTCGAACCAAGTTTGATTGCGCATTGTCGGTCGGCGCGACCGTGTGCTCCCTGCCCGCATTTTGTTTTTCCCTTATTTATCGGATTCCGCAGTTTCGCAACTCGTTTTTTAGTCTTTGCACGCGTTTCCCGGATCTTGTTAGCGAGCTCTCGTCGCCAAAGTTCGCGAATGCCAGATCCATTGGACGATTTGGAATGACGTGTGTCGGAAAACTGAATTTTTTTTGGCTCGTAAAATATACATTTTGTTGTTGTCTTGCGATTTTTCTAGCTACTAAAAAATAAAAATAAAAATAAAAATTTGTTTGTTACAACTTTCAAAAATTGTACAAAGAATAAGAATTTGAGGACAGACATTTTTACATGCAAGCTTTCTATAACTTAATAAATTCGTATTATAGGTGCACCAACAAATTTTCACTTTGTTCATGAAAAAAGCAAAATTTAACAACCACTCCATTAGATACTAGTTTTTTTTTACCTTTTATCAACAGAACACGATGCCAACACATGTTGTTCATCAGGCTTCCACTGAAGATCTTCGACACTATACGGAGCATGAGAATTGTAAGCCCTCTGGTCAACATGCCATGAACAATTTCCTCCATTGTCAGAGCATCTCCAGATATGAATATTTCCGTTGCAATCACCTGTAGCTAATGTACCAGGTTCTGCAGAAGACCAGTCCAGACTATAACCTTCAATTGTATGTCCTTTAAAAGTAAAAAGTGGCTTTACACAAGTATCATTTTTTTCAGATTTCTTTTCATATGAACTTAGGGCTCCCTTATTATCAACAGCTTTTAATTGCTCAGATAAATTCCACAGTGAAACTCGTCCTAGTTCACTCCAACTTGCAGCAAGTATAGTATTCCCAACTGGTGAACATCTACATAAAAATTTTTACTCAGTTAAATTTAATTTAATAATTTAAATATTTTACTATATATATACATATATGTGCGGGCGCGTGTGTGTGTGTCAAAGCCGTATTTTCTCAATATCGTATAATTTTAAAATTTATATAAAAGATTTTAATCCTTGTATGTATACTTAGTAAACCTCATATATATAAACTTAGTTATATTTATTCATACGTGTTATTCATACATTATTATATTCTATTCATACGTGTGTGGACAAACTTTAATAAAATTTTGCTAGACAATAGCTTGCTTCTTTAACAAGGGGAGTATAGGAGTTGCCAGACACTGAAATTTTTCTATGCTGTAGAGCAAAAAAAAATATTGGACACATGTTTTTTAATCGGCCTATATACATACTCGAGAGGTGAGAACGATCCCTAGAATTCATCTCCAAAAACTGTTTTTCCGAAATATCTCCGCTTTAACTCTGTATTAATTTATAATACAAACCAAAGATTGTTTCCCGTGAAAAGGACAAAAAAATCACATTTATGAAAGCAGTAAGGAGTGCATCTCTTATTTTCTAGAGAATAAAACCACTTTTTTGTGACAGTTATTTAATAAAAAAATTACATGACTAAAAAAAAATTTTTTTATACATAAAATTAAAGAGCAATATTTGAGTATTTAGGCATTTTTGTGAATTGTACCCTTCAAGCCACCCTTATAAAAAAATTTTTAAAGTTTTAATTTTAATGATAAATGGTATGCAGGGGCATTTAAGGTCAATAGTTATCAATTCATCATCAGAATTCATGCATTCAAAATGGTGGATCCAATACGGTGGACGAAAAAGTCGAAAAGATTATTAGTTTAAGAAATTTTAATATATGATCTACTATTAAACCATACATTTCCAAATTCCTGAAAACTAGATAGGAATTTAGCTTGTTCCTTATTAAACTAACAAAAACAAAATTTCGGAGCACCAGATGGAAAAATTCATCGTTTGAACAGCTATTTTCAGTCACCTCGTCTTGCTATTATTTAAACAGATACTTTTTTTCTATCACAAATATTTATAATTTTTCAAATAAAATTAAACAGCTAAGAAAAAATACCTGTTTGTGCAGACAGTTTTGTCCTTGTGATTTGTATACCCTATCCCAAGTTAAGATGTCATTAAAGACGTCTCTGAAGACGCAACCAAAGATATCTAGAGACGTTTATGTGATACAAAAGACCTCACCAAAGACGTTACCTGCAAATACGTTCATAAAGACTACAAGACATCTATGAATACTTTGTAAAGGACACGTCCTTAAAGACGTCTTTGAGGTAACGTATTTGGTGAGGTCTTTTATTACGTCTCTAGATATGTCTTTTGTTACGTCTTTAGAGACGTCTCTGATATAGTATATATACTATTTTCTTGCAGGCATTTATTTTTTTAAAGTCCAAAATAATAATAATTTTTTTTCAATTTACAGTATGTCACTTATGATTTATTATTTTACCAATGCAGAAAAAACTCGAAGTCTTTACGCAAATAATGTTTATTTCTTTATCCTTAAAAAATATTAACATTGAATTATGCATAAAGAGTAAAGCAATTTCATACACTGCTTAAAGAAAAGAGTAATATTGATAATTGCCTTAAGAGCACAATATTTTTTTCTGCAACGAAGAAAAAGTTAATAATTTTTTCGGAGAATAAGTTAATAAGTTAATAAGCCTTGGGAGAAGTGTAGTATTGATATTTTCTTGAGCAGACGAGCGGTATACAATTTTGTCAGAGAAAACAAGCGATATTAGCATTTGCCTCAAGTGGAGAGCAGTATCAATTTTTGCCTCAGAAAAAACGCGATCTTTCCAAAAGCTTTATAAGAACTTCGACATCTAGTCTGAGATTATTTCGTGACAGATAATAAAACATGTTTAGAATTTTCAGGAAAAAAAAAAACAACAAAAAAAAAAAAACACCAGCGTTTTAACCGTCACAAAAACTTCAAGTATTTCTACAGCTTATGCGATTCCTTCATATCGATTACGTTTATCATGATTACTCTCTCTGTTTGACGTCAATTATTTTTAGTCTCCTCATCCCGTCATCAAGCTTCTTGCTTATTTACTCTGATTAGCGACAGTATTCAGCGGGAAACTCTTGTTTAATTAAAGTTTTCTTTACTATTAGATTCATTGAACGCATACCTCAAAAAGGATTGGTGATACTTGGTTGAATGCCCAGAGTCAAGAGGGTAATGCAGGGTTGTCGGTGGCCGGGGTATCCAGTCTCGTGGATTTATATAGTCTTTAAGTAGTCAAATTGTTGCCAGAATTTGCTTCAAAGTATTGTTTGGAAATAATTGTAAAAAAAATGTTTGTTGACGAGATAATTAGATGGTCATAGAAAGAACTGATGAGTTTGATGGTGGTTTAGTGTACGTAAAGATTGATGATATCTGTGAAAACAGCTAGTGGTAGTATTTTGAGTCAGAGGATGATAATATTTCCTGCAGACATGACTGTCTAAACTTCTTAAGGTAGTTATCCTTAGCCTGCTATTGTTGCAAGAGGTGATTTAGCAGAACTAGGTTGGTTGGAAGAACAGTCCTGCCACCCATAAGCGTTTTAGAGCTAGTTACACAGTGGGCAGACGTCTCCGGGTATTACGCCGGGAACATTGGCGTTAAGAATGCCTTATTATTGTAGCACTCGGTCATGTTGGCGATCCAAGGTAGAAATTGGCGTAGGTCGCTTGCCTATCGCAGATCGTCAAAATCTCGACGGTAGCCGGAATGCCCAGATACGTGACTAAAAGCTCTGTTCTTGACGTACTGCCCGTGAACAGATATAGTCAACAGTCTGTTTGGGATTGTAACTGGACTCACTAACTTCTATTGTAGGTGGCTTTAATTTTACTTCGACGCCACCTAGCGGATCCTACTCAACGAAAGCGCAAAGCTAGCATTTTTATTGTAAGACTTTAAGCATATTAACTGCTATTATTAATGAATTTTAAGAAAAAAACGATGTAAAAACAATCTAGGAAATGTCTGCAGTCAGTATGCAAAATTTAATCAAAATCGGTTGAGTAGTTTTTGCAGTTAGCGATTACGACAGTTTTTCGGATTTTGCTTCATATATTAGTGAGATATGTTTAACATTTATTGCTTCTAATTTAGCTTCAAAAATATACAGTAAATCATTTATAGATTGCATTTTACTATTTACTATATAATATACGATATCTTGATCTTGAACTATAATATAAACTTTATCTTGCTTTAAGGTTTTTGACAATGAGATTTTTATGAACCACTTTTTTAGTCAGTTAGCTTTATGCAGCACACAAAATAGCTGTCCCTTCGTAAGGGCGCAGCCAAACAACCGCTACGGCAGATAGTCCACAGTTTAAGGTCACTATTTCGAAGAGCTGTTATCCAAAACAGACTCATCATCTTCCAAGACGTCCGCGACTATAAGAGCTAGTATAACTGCTAATAACAGTGCAAGTATCACTAGTGCCACCCAGTTCCTTCCGATGTCCATCAATCCAGATAACCAGTGTTTTAACCACTATACCATCGGGCTAAATCATTGAAACCTTAGAACAGTCAGCAGAAATGCAATCCACTCTCTCGAGACGAAACACTGCTGGCCAAAATCGTAGCTAAACTTACCAAACTCTGGAATCGGAACCAATACATGGAAGGATAATGAGTGAGTACTCTGTCCAGTTAGAAAATTCCAACCAGCAAATAGCTAACCTTATCCCCTCCAACGAGGAGAAAGATAGCGGCATCACCGCATTTTCTGAAAAACTCCCCGCACTGCGAAAACGACAACACTATAAGGCCCAAGCCTTACAACTCTATCGCCCACTAAGCGTGATCTCCTAAACCTACTAAATTCTTCTACTTCAGAGAAAAAGCAGTTTCTTTTTATGTTCAGCTCAAAGCCACGACCTCGCCCGTCACGAAGCCCATCGCAAAGAAAAGGCGCGTAAAGGCTAAGATTGACTCAGCACATTATAAGCCCGAGCTCTCCGATATTGAGTTCGAACAATTTCGGAAATTCCAATCCCTGCTAAATTTTTCTTATACAGAGAAGAATGCTTTCGACAGTTATCTCGAGGACCCTGCTCAATCTGACACGGAGGAGACAGCTAGTACCCACCAAATGAAGGTACCACTTCCTATCACGATCTTGAATCAAAAACTCGGGCCTAAAATCAACAAAACCCTCATCACAGGGAATATTCCTGTCCACCACGTGGTCACAACCTTACAGTCCATAATCTCGATGAGAAAAAGGTTGAATTCACCACCTAACAGCTTCACGAGGATCGCTCCCCAAACAATCTCAGAGAGCTTAATCCACAAAAATTTCACCACCATAGCTTTTTTAGATGTACAGCAGGCTTTGATAAAGTTTGGGTCAAGGACCCATACAAGCATATTTATATAGGTTTTCCATATTACCTAATTGGCACCATCAAATCTTACCTGTCGGATGGATTAATTCTCGTTAAGAAAGCGACTTCCTCTCCAACCCTCACCCAATAATCTCTAGAACCCCCCAAGGTTTAAACTCTCACCCACCCTTTTTAATATATTTTGCCTCGACCTGCCCCAGCGTAAAGACATCAACACGTACGTCTATGCTGACGACGTCGCGGTTAGCTGCACGTCATAATAACACTCTCGGTGCATTTCACTTTTAAATAAGCATATCGTCCATAGCTGGTATAATCTTCAGAAACTGGTTGTTAATGAGGCAAAGATTGAAACCATGCTCGTCTCCTGTAAAAATCCATGGAAGAAACTGTAAAAGATAAGAGTTATAAAGTTGTTTGTTCGTCGGTAACTGATTGATTGTCTTTTTATGTTGGCTTGCTTATAAATCCAGTACCTGTTTTCTTTATTATAAATAACACTCATATTTAATTCGATTGTTTTACGTAAAGTAAATAATTTTATAGCCTGAGGGAACTGCAGGGAAAAATTCATCAATCGTATGA